AATCAATCTAATGGAAACAAAGAGGTCCAACCATTTTAGATTTATGTTCGTCATGTATTATCGGATCAGATCTATCCATTTTAAATCAAATTTAAATTAATATTTTTTGTATTGACCATACTATGCACAATATCAACCTTAGTAAAGAAGAAAAACAGATTGCTATTCGACAGGTCGTTATTAATTATTATTCGGAAATAAAACTGGCGTTTATAACGGCAAGACCGAGAAATAACACTCCTTAAAGCCGAACTCCGAATACAAAACTACAGAAATAATTAAATAAAAAAGGTAACACCCTAAACACCTTAGATATATTTTAGAACGATAATACTAGACTTTATCATGCTGAAAATTATTTGGTGTTTCTACATTGTGAAAAACATTTCACGAAATAAGAAAAAAAATTGGTTGGTGTTCGTTGGTAGATTTGTTATTGTTTGGAGTAAGGCAGTTTTTCTGTTATTTTTAGAGCAAAAGTACATCGTGGTTGACTTATTTCGTCTAATTAGTAAAATAATACGTACCTGATCAGACATAATGATTGTGTAGCAATAATATTTTCAGTTACCTGATAGCAGTGATAGTTAAAGAACTTCGATCAGTCAGGGGGTAATTGGTAGTTGACTAGCTAACCGGATGTGGACAGTTTGCTCGACACGGCAATTACTGGAAGTGGGCGTGGCCTGCGCGTGTATTTGTTAGCCCTAAGCTATCGCCATGTTTCTTCTACAAATTGAAAACAAGTATGGCGGTCGTTTAGGGCGTTACCTTCTTTTATTTAATTATTTCTATAGTTTTGCAATCGGAGTTCAGCTTTAAATCAAATAAACTATCACAATTTTATTCATGATGATGATAATACAAGTAAAAATATCAATAAAAATTAAGTAGATATGTTTTACTTTGGACTTCTCTGAAGACATTTTGATCACCATTACGGTGACATGAATAGGTTTGGTAATGTTTGGGGCCAACAACTTGATTGTATGCCCCCAAGACCCAAGCACATACACTAGTTCTGAGAAATATGAGAAAAAATATGTATACACAGACACATTAAACTTTCTATTCATATTAACTTGGGCAGCCTAGACCACAACGTTAACAGCGATCATTTGAAATTTCAAAAGATTATACTTTAAATTTCACTCTTTGATTGGATGCCCCCGGGACTATCGCCCCCTCTACCTCCCTCTCATAACATAATGTTAACATGATTACAGATGACATATTTATGACCTACGATTGTAATCTAAAAATGAACTCCAGACTTATGAATGGCAAGGCTGAATAACAATCTAGATTTTTTTCTTCCGTTTTCTGAAGATATGTTTACTTTAGACTGTCGGGACAACATTATGATCATCATTATGGAGAATGGCGATAGTGTATTTGATTTAAAGGTGAAATGTCTAACACTTATAAATGAAAGCTGAAGATGAAATGGCGAAACCCCAGCATTTCGGCAGTTCATCTTCAGCTGGGGTTTCGCCATTTCAGAATACATCGATACTTTGGTTAGAACCAACAGACCTGTATATGAATGAATGAGTAGTGTGGCCTACAGAAACATAACACAAAAAGTTATAGCAGATCGTCTATCGCAAGTTCTCGACCCTCAGTTCCCTCTGCTATACATACAATCTGGTTAAAACACAGATCCTATTTCGTTTCGTTTTTATAGTTCAAAATTTCGTTTTACTTGTCTTTACTACACTTGGATCTGGGAGACTTGTTATTTAACTCGTGTTCTGCTTGAAATGAGGGGTCAGCCAATCAAATGGTCTGTCGAATCGAGTGTTTGACCTTTTTTGCCCGGAACTGTGGGTAATCCACTAGTAACATCAATGCTAATTGGTTAATCAAATGTCTGACGTCATAGGTCAAAAGTCGGTAGTCGGTCTTTTGACTTCTGACGTGACCTATCGCTATAACTTGTCAGATCTTCATGTAGTGTAGGCCATCGAAAGTATAAAAAAACCGAAACGAAATATAGATCTGTATTTTAATCAGATTGCTGTCCACGCACAAATATTTAACAGTTGTACAGTTGTGCCATTTGAACCGATAATAATATCCTCACTGGAAACTAGCACGTATTTCAATTTCATGTAATGTTTTTGCTATTGTGTGGAAAGCATTTTGCTTCTTGGTTCAACGGACCACACTACTCCACCCCCATCCCCGCCCCTTAAAAAAACGCGGTGCAGTCTAAAACTGAGAAGAGACGTGCTTTTGCTTGACCAATACAATTTTATCGATTGTCTAGTCATTAGTATAGGAATGTAATTGGTGCTTTTACTACAATTAAATACAAGCTTTTCGCCCATTAAGATAAGCAATTGATTGTGTAACCGGTTAAATTAAGTAGACTCTTTTTGTATTTATTTAAGATACTGTAATCAGTATGTGGATCAGTGCGTGCACATTCTAACAATTGATAATTAATTGTGGCGGTGACACACAGACACACACAAAAAAGGGCGTGGCTGTTCCTGGGGGTCGGGCATGCACCAAATATAATAGATGTCATCCTTAGGGTATAAGGAATAAATATGATAAGTTTTCAAGACGATCCATAAAACGAGGCAAGTCTCTAACTCAATATCATCCAGTCTTCGACATTGCAAACAAAACTTATTGGTCAATTTAAATCAACATTGACGTACTTATCTTGGACTTCTGATATCCAATATATAGGAAAGACTTAAAATTTCAAAAATCAGAGAGGCACGTTAATCAAATCATTCTAGAAAACGACTTACTAAATGGATCAAAGCAATTTTTTGTGAAGAGTATGTTGACACATTAGTGATTAATTCATACCAATTCCAAGACATTACGAGTATGTTTAGAGTCTGTACACAGTCTATAGATCAGTATCTGGTGACTCCACCGCGAGTGTCAATAACAGCAGCGCAGCGTCTGTACATGGAGTGGACCAGACGATTGATGAACGCCATTGGCACCCGGAACCACACTCTCAGAAAATCCTGGCGCAATCTATCGGCTGTGTTTGGTCTCGGTACGACGTTATTAAGTCTCCTCTGAATTTTATCCCAAAGATGTTCAATCGGGTTTAAGTCCAGACTAAGGGCTGGCCAGTGCATAACGTTGACACCGTTCTGCTGTAGAAAGCCCCGAGTAACTCTGGTGGTGTGGGCACAGGCGTTGTCATGCTGGAAAACTTTGTTTCGATGAAATGTGGTATGACGTGGGGTCTGAGAGCTTGATCGATGTAGCGCACTGCTGTGATGCCGCCTCCTCTCCCTGGACCAAGATTTTGGAACACCACGGGACCCACTCACTGGTTCAGGCCGACACATTGGTCAGAATAACGCTGACCACGTCGACGCCATATTCTGGTCCTACCATCTGCAGTTAATACGCAATACCGACTCTCATCTGTGAACAGAACCGTTCTCCGTTGCCTGTGTCGCAAGTTCTGGTGTTGTTGGGCAAACTGTAGACGTTCACGTTGATAGCGAGGGGTGTACACAGGAACTCTGATTTTCGTCCCAATCCCAACGACTATAGACAGCCGTCCTTCTCACGTCCACCATCGTGCACCACTGACATGGAGAAACCACCCCAGAAAATCCCGAGGATCTTCCTCGGCCAACACCCGGAGCGAACCAGAGACCTCCAGTCTGGTGTGCCAGTGTCTTACTTACTGAGCCACCGCGGCTCCTAGGTTTAGATGAAACTACCGGATTATTACGGTCACACTTTTAATCAGCGCGGTAAGATAAAGCTCAATGTCTAAATACAGTGTATTCAGAAATTTCTAGTGGTTTCATCCAGTTGTCCAATTAAGCAAAATAACTGGTCCCAAACGGAAAACTCCCTGGCTTTGATGTAGGCTTTAAAACGATTAAGCCATTTGCCATTAAGCTCTGTTGCATTTTGCGGTGAAATTTGCCTTACGGTGTCAATTCATAGCTGGAAACTGTTGTCATTGTGTAAAATAGCAACTAGTGAAATAATTCTTCCGCCCGGGGTTGATATTTCAACACTCACTAGGTTTTCTAATTTTACTAAGGGTTGTAACAGAACATCTTTTTAAGTATGACTTTCTAACGTAATGACTTGAAATATATGGATAATTTGCATTCATTCTGCCCTGCTAATCGCCGACAAAAAACGACAACAGCGGTTTTGTCAATAGCGCCCAAAGTATTTCAAAAAGTGACCGACAAGGAAAGAACATAATCTACACATTCAAAAGTGATAGGATTTCATATAAAATAGAATTAAATATGACTGATTAAGATTTGGATAACTAATCACCGACAAGAGTGTTTTTTTTACCAATAAAGCTCAAAGTATGGAAAAGAAAAGCGTTCGACAAAGAAATATAAGTTATCCCCCTTAACCCCCCCCCCCCCAACCCCCCCCCCCCCCAACTAAATTAACGCTCTTGTCCCGGGGCGTCGTCGGTTCTTGTCGGTGATTAGTTGGACCCATACATGTATATTGATCATTTCATTAAAAAATAATAATGTATTAGCTTTGCAAATTCATAGAATCTCAGAAACATTGTATTTTTGCACAGTAAAAAAACAACTCAATTAACGCTCTTGTCCCGGGGCGTCGTCGGTTCTTGTCGGTGATTAGTTGGACCCATACATGTATATTGATCATTTCATTAAAAAATAATAATGTATTAGCTCTGCAAATTCATAGAAACCCCAGAAACATTGTATTTTTGCACAGTAAATTGGACCTTTATGTAGGAACAGTCTAGAGAAATGCTGACGTTTTATTATTTAAGATAACTATTATGTACTGCCCTTGTTCCCTTGTTTACGTGATATTAGTTTATTAATATTTTTAAAACTATTTTTACATCGTTATCATTTGGCCTTGGATGCAGCAAATAATCCATGAAAATTTGCTGAGCCAAATGGTTGAATATATCTGACGTCATGTAGTTTGTCTGCTATAAAATGTCCACAGGTAGCCCCTAATCGTCAGTTTTGTCTTTGCGACGTCAGCGTATGTACAAGGCAAACTGAAAAGTTTTCTTTTAAAAATTTAACAGATTATTTGATCTTCCTGATACCTTTGTACTAGAATCAACTAAATCACCACCAAAATGTCAAAAAGTCAACTTCGCCAGAACTTCCACTCGGAAAGTGAAGCCAGCATCAACAACCAAATAAACATGGAGATGTGCGCCAGTCATACTTATCAATCCATGGTGAGTCGCTACCTTTGTCATTTACATAAATTGATTGATCCTATACATTATTAAGTTCGGGGATTGGTTTGCTTTCCTAATGGATAGTTTGTTCTTTTTTGATGTGTAGGTTTACCGGTATCGTCAGTTAGATCTATATTCGGCAAAGATGTTAAAAATGAGGCAAGTTTTATAAATGATTATCCGTTTTATTGATCATTTTCATTTTGTCCACAGGCTTTTTACTTTGATCGTGATGATGTTGCTTTGCCTGGATTCAGCAAATATTTCAAGAAATCCTCGGAGGAAGAAATGGGACATGCTGAGAAATTGATGAAATACCAGAACAGACGTGGTGGAAGAGTTGTTCTTCAAGATATCAAGGTAAGACAATATGATATTATGACTTGAACTCTTTGATTTTGGTAAAAATAAAATTGTCAATTTAATTGACATCTGTCTATCCTGAGGATTTATGTACATTGATATAGCCAATGTTCGAATAAAACTGCTTTTACTAGTTTATTACAACCAGCGGTTGCGAGGCAAGAATCGTCCACCTAGAGGTTCCACAACCTTGATATACCATATAATTTACACTATTTGCGTACAAGGGGCGGCCATTTTGCCTGGCAGTTTTGATCCGATTTTCACGAAATTCGAACTCAACCATCATTAGGGTGTAACGGTGATATATTTAAACGGCGTTTTAAATCGGATAACAATTGTGACCTCTAGAGGGACCACAAACTAAAAACGCGATTTTTCGTACAATCAAGGGCAATAATTCAGGAAGTTACGATCCGATATGCGCGAATATCGGAAGGAACCAAGATCTTTGGGTTATAAACATGCATTTCATGTTTCATCATACTCGGATCAAAACTGTGACCTGTAGAGCATCCACAACCTTGAAATACCATATTTTTTACACTATATGCGTACGAGGGGCGGCCATTTTGTCCGGCAGTTTCGGTCCAATTTTCACGAAATTCGAACTCAATCGACATAACGGTGATATAATCGAACGGTTTTATAAATCGGTTTATATTTGTTGTGACCTTTAGAGAAACACAAGCTAAAAACGCGATTTTATGTACAAACATGTACAATTCAATATGCGCAAATATCGAAAGGAACCAAGATCTTTGGGATATAAACATGCATTTCAGGTTTCATCAAAATCAGATGAAAATTGTGACCTCTAGAGTGTCCACAAGCTAAAAACTTGATTTTTCGTGAAGTTTCGATCCGATACATGCCAATATCAAAACGAACCGAGATCTTTTGGAGATAAACCAATATTTCAAGTTTCGTCAAAATCGGATAAGAATTGTGACCTATAGAGTGTCCACAAACAATAGGCAGATTTAGCTCTTGCATAATGTATGTTTATGTGGTCTTCCCGAAGACTTGATATGGAACGCAGACACACTTCTTATGTAAAAAAATTATTTTTTGAATATTCTGCAGAAACCCGACCGTGACGAATGGGGTACTGGATTAGAAGCCCTGCAGGTTGCTCTACAACTGGAGAAAAATGTCAACCAGTCTCTCTTGGATCTACATGCCGTTGCCGATAAGCACAATGACCCCCAGGTTAGTTCCGCAATGTATCTAGAAGTATTTTGTCATTTAGGGACGTTTTTGAGTCACCGGTATCTGAAACCGGATACCTTTAATTACTTTCTAGAATTTATGCTTTAATCGTATTTGTATTTTTCCTCTTGGCATTGATATTCATGTAGTGAAGAATCGAGATTTTGATTTCAAACTGGAAATTGCTTTAACAGAAACTGGACTGGAACAGAAGTCGATTGATTCAATTCCTATCGGATTCTATACAATGAAACATAAAATTCAAGTGCTGTGAAGTGTTGAACGCATATGATAGATAAACTTGCTCGTTCCTTAATTTGTATTGTATGAATCATTCTACTTTAACAGATGCAAGACTTCCTGACAGGTGAATACCTGAAAGAACAGGTTGACACCATCAAAGAGATGTCTGATTACATCACCCAACTTAAACGAGTTGGTACCGGACTTGGAGAATACATCTTCGACAGAGAGTCTCTCAGTTAAATACCTACCTGGTTTTTCAAAATAAATACTTATATTTTCTAAATAAAAGTACAAATTAAAACGTTTATGTTGTTTTTTTATTATTTACCGCAGATGAAAATTGAAAATACTACTAAACATGGCATAGTCAAAAATTATAAATATTACTAAAGATGACACAGTCGAAATTAGGATAGTTGTACTGCAGATCCACAGTGAATAAGCTCAATTAGTTGAGGCGCCAGCTTTATAACCGCGACAATTTATATCGCACGAAAGATTGTCCTCGAACTTTGTTCGATTATGTGGTGCAAAACTGGTCGAAAAACCAATTAAGTTGACAAATCGATAGTCAGGACGCTTAGGTCGATACCTTCACAGAATTATTCACTTTTTATACGTCCACATTCATAATGTGAACGTATTATGCCGTCATCTCTGTCTGTTTGTGTGTGTGTGTGTGTGTGTGTGGGGGGGGGGGGGGGGTATGTATGTATTACTGGATTTTCTTCAAACTTTGTATACTTATTCCTTATACCCTAAGGATAATCCCTATTTATTTTGGTGCATGCCCGACCCTCTGGGGCATATCACACCCACTTTTTTGTTAATATTTTGTCTGTAAATTTGGCAAAACAAACCTAACGCCTAGCCTTCTTTGCCTATTGTAATAAAAATAAAATAAAACCAAGTACGAACAATCCAAACCATTAGGCAAAATAGTGTAATCAGCAATGGACTGTTCACCGCCATTTCATATTTCATTCTCTTCATTATAAAAAGTACCATATCAATCAAAGCAGGAATGTGGACGTATATTGCAGCGTTAGTGATGCTCTTGTTCTCAAAAACACGAATGTTGGCATTACAGGTAGATTTTGATGTCCTCATTCGAATAGCAGCGGGTCATTTTGGATTCAAAGTACTGGTGGGCTCTGAAATATGGCATTTTTACTTGTGAAGCCTATATATATATATATTGGACACCAGTCTAAAATTCAATTATAATGACATTTCAGCGAAATTCTTAAATGCATAGTCTTCTTTTTCATTCAACAGAAAGACGATTTCTAACTTATTTCAAGCAGAGCCTAAGTAGTAATGAAATAAAGGAACTATTGCAGACTTTATGTATACAAAGCAGTAATTGTTTTCCGTCACTAAATGCCACCCAAAGATTATAAATCTCAACTCCTTCCTGATTCGGGGGATTGGCTGATCGAGTGGCCTAACGCGTGCGCTTTAAATGATAAGGTCTGTCATTGAGTCTAGTGGCGTGGTTTCGATCCCTAGCATTTATGTGACAAGAAGTGGTGTCAACTTTCTATCTTTGTGGGTTCTTTCGGGTCCTCCCATTGCTAAAGGCCACCCAACCCCCACGCCCAAGCGAATTATTGAAATAAAATTGTACTTTTGTTAATCCCGAAATTAACTAGTTTCTGTTGAGTGGACGTTAAACCACATTTCTCACTCTCACGAATAAACAGAAAATGTCGCTAGAATGAACTATAGTCATCAAGAATAATATTGCTCTGTTTTGAGTCCTCCATATTTATAAATTATTTCGATTATTAATGGAACAAACCCTATATGATTATAAATTTGTTCATTTGCAAGCATGACTAGACTTTGGTTTAGGTCAAAGATGGGATGATAATTTGTCTTTGTTGAAAATTGTATGTCTATAGATGAACATATGTAAGATAAGTACCAAGATGACAAAGTAGATATTTGGAATCAATTCATAATCTACGAAAAAACCAAACAAACCCACTGAATATGGGCTTGTAACACAAACGACTTCTACCGAAGCGCATATTTATATCAGATCAAAACAAAAATCAGTAATAACCTACTAAACATTTTATTCTTTTGTATGATTGATAACTATTGAATTTGACCAATATTCGTATAAAAATTACATAAAAGTTGTTTGTGCGTTTATTGTTGAACCGTCTACAGATTAGTAAAAGAAGTAAACGTTAATTCATTATATATAAACAATGTCATACTCATGCATTTTACAACGATTATTTTAAGAAATGCAGTTCTCCGTGTTAGTAAAGCTTAGTAAACATAGATGCTTTAAATTACGAAAATCAGTAATAATAAAAATTGACGAAAGGACTATAATTATAATATGAAATGGGGATTGACGTGCAACTTTTCGGCACTTAACAGAATAAAGCAATATTAAGCTGACCTGCAAAGTGAGTGGAAGCTATGAGAATATCAGTTCAATATGAACTTATAGAACTCCGCATACCGCGAGGAAGTACAATAATTTAAGATTATGAGTTCAATGTGAACTAAAAGAACTTGGCATACCGTAAAATAGTTCAAAATTTTAACTGTCCTAAGATGAACAATTTTCAAACTTGGTACTATTCATCCTCGCCAAACATATACTGCCTTACTTTATTTGCATGTTTACTTATATTTTTCCCTATCACAAAGCTTCCTTCTAGATTTGGCGAATACTTGGACGCTGGCGGAGTTCTTCCATATACCTCAGCTACTTCACGCAACAAGAAGGATGAGCTTCCGCAACATAGTCCAATATATTGAACTCCAATTTCCTTCGCGGTTTCAGCAAACTGTCTGACGTCTGATCTTGAACACTGTACAGCTGATAATTCTAATGGGAAGGCTGACTTACCTAGAACAGAAAATGTTGTTCTAAAATACCGATGCAAATATACATATCGGAATTACAGATAAGAAAGTGTTAATGTTTTGTATGTGAGCTATGGAGGTTATGTCACAAATCTGATACTAAATATATATGTTTTATTCTGTAAATACAAAGTTTTAAAATGCTGACGTTACCAGTGGTAGCATCTGTAAGTCTATGAAATGTTGGTTCTGTAGGAGTTGTTCTGAATGGTACAGGTAGTGCTGCTATTGGACCCTGCAAGAATAAAATGTTCCATTATGCTACCCAAGCTTCCTGCCCCTGCCAGATTCTTGAAGTTAACGTCTTCAACGTCAGTCCAGAAATACAATCTATTGCAACACAATACGTTGACGAAGCTATCTAAGTTCTTTCTTGGTTACTATAATATGGATGATTGAACTGACCAATACCAAATCTAGTTTTGGTACTGAAGATACACCCAAAGTAACTGATTAGAAATATAATAATTTAAATGTACCTTACAAACTTGTCTTATTTCTTTTAACATGGGTATCATAGTAGCTGGTCCTCGTCCACAGTTGATACCTACAACAGCCGCACCAGCTTCTTCTAACTGTCTTAATGCTTGTGGAAATGGAACACCGTCAACTGTTCTTTTTGAACCATATGGGGCTAATGTTATTACTGCTGGTAGACCTGGATATAGATGATGAGGTATAATTAGGATGTGGTTTATAGTTATCCATAGACTGGTTTATTATTCAAGGTCTTCCCCCCACCAAATAAATAAATAAATAAATAAACAACCAAAATACATTTCATATAATTTCTTACGTTCTTCATATAAACCATTAATGGTTTATAGAAGTATGTGAAAGTACGTATTGTGTCTTACTTAATATTTCCATGGGACATATAATAATATATCGTTCAGATCCTAAACTATAATTATCATATTATAAGGACTGATTGGCGCCTCGAATAACATTATCCCGTCATTAACTGAAACTTTACGATAACTCATGTAATACAAAACACTAATACCAAAATCAAATACAATATTTAAACCAATATTGTCATACCATTGCCATATTTCTGTATGGCTTCTAATGCTAAATGAGCTTCTTGTATTTCACTAAATGTTTCACCAATGATATAATCAGCCCCTCCTTTAACCGCCCACTCTACTTGTTCCTGTACAAAGAACGGTTATCATCATACATAGTCTTAGAAACATAAATACATGAATTAATGAATTAATAAAACTACGAAACATTCGACGTTACAATCAAAAAGTTATGGGTGCTCTCGCAAATTCGTTCGTGTGCATGTTAATGACCTCTACCCTTCAAGGACGAGCTTCGTCTACGTTTAAACATACATTTTAACTTATCCAGACCATAATCAACTCTCGATGTCATCGCTAGCCTGCGATATTTTCTAGATTAGAATCCTATCTGCTGCTTAACGCTCACTGATAATTAAATTAAAAATTGGATAATCGAGACTATGTTTTTTATCGTATCGACTTAGTAATGATGACCGAGGCTAGACCCAAAATCCAATAACTAAAATCTCGGTTCGGAGTGGACCAATTCGACTGAAATGTTCAGCAGATTCCCATTACATTATCTAGTTTTTAACTATTATAGTGAGAACTACCAGCTCTTTATCTAATCTCCCATAATGTATCTTTAATATGAAACAATAGCTGTTTTATAACTGTTCTTTTTTTTTAGGACGAATAGACTTGGGAATTCTGTAGCAATTTTGGAATACTGAAAGTATGGCGAACAGACTCGTCTAATTATACAATAACTAAAAATGGCTTAAACGCGGAAAGTTTAACTACATTTGTACAGTCGATATTGTGTGCCTAATTATACCTGTTTTCGCTATGCCATCTGTAATAACACTTTTCGAAGGAATTATATGTGTTAATAGTGAGAATGAAATAAATTTACCTTGAATATGCGTCGAGACTTATCTGCAGTTGTCGGGTCATCTGGGTCAAATGATGTTGTGTTTGATAAATTTCCAGCCATTAAAGTATTGGTGGAATCAGCCACTTCACGGGCTATTTTTAACGCTCTAAGATTCAATGTCTCCAATTCATCTTCCCGGCCAATGATCCTCATTTTCTCTCGATGACCATAATACTGAAAGGGCGATTTAACAGCTAAACTTAACTACAATCTTAACGTATATTCTATGAACGTGATCGAGAGATTCAGGTATTTTCAGACGTATCGCGTTATCGAAATCTGGTGTGCCAATATCTATAGATAAAATCAAAGTGTGAATGTATGTATGTTCGCTTATCACGCTTCGTCGCTGCGACCCCACCCCATCCCACGTGGTAACTAGTATGACCCCGTGAATGTTTTACGCCATAGAATTTGGGCCCCGAGCAAATCACGCTTCGTCGCTGCCCCCCCCCCTTCGACC